GTTAGTGCATGCTGAGCTCCTGCCCCAGCTCAAACTGGCTCACAGCAAGCCTGGGGCACAGGTGTCTGGGTGCCTGTTTTTACACAGGAGAACCCATGAGGTCTCCGGCTCAAGGTCACGTCTGTAGTAACGGGTAGCGCCAGGACTCGGGCTGGCAGACGTGACATTAAGCGGCTCCAAGGCCGTGGGAATAGCATGCGCACATACAAGAGATGGGACGTGTGAGGCCGAGAGGGAGGAGCGTGTTGGCCTTGAAGGTCAGCACAAGGACTCAGATGGGTTTAATGAGGCCATGCGGGTGGGGGAGAGGGCGCATGGCAGGGAGTGTTTGCATGAGTAGATCTACCCTTTAGGAAGATTAATCGGACAGGCAGGTGGAGGACAGGTGAGAACTGGCCAGGTGGCGCAGACAGAATTAGAGGTTATCTGCGAATCCAGAACTTTCAGGCCCCGGACCTTGCATGAACAACAGTAGGAGACAGTAAGGTGGGGATGGAGGAAGCAGCGAGAGGCTGTAGTCTGTGGGTTCCTCCCACGGCACACCCGCCCCATCCCACTGTACTTACTCACTCCTCGTGTGAGCTACCTCCCCAGCCAGCTGAAGGCTTGTACCATCAAGAGCTGGGCCTCCGTTCCTCACTCCCACAGCCTCGGTGCTCAGGGCAGTGTCCGGCAGGGAGCAGGTGGCAGAGAGCGTGTGTGTCATGAGAGCAGACAGGAAGGAGGCATGTGTCAACCTGGGGCTTCTGGGCCAGGCGGCGAGAAGATGCACAATAAAGGGAAGGATGGTTGAGCAAGGGAGGTGAGAAGCTTGCTGGTCGAGGAACAACATTCAGAGGGATAAAGGTGTGGGTTTGTGCGGTGGGGTGGGGTGGGGTGGGGTGGGGTGGAGGACACACAGAGAGAGTTGGGATGGCTCAGAAAGGTGCAAACCTACTGGGGTGGATGAGATTCCCTAGCAGGGAGAGCTGGCTGGCAGAACATCCACCTTTGAAAGGCAAGGGAAGGAATCAGCCAAGGAGCCAGGGTAGACCTATCTGAGAAGCAGGAGGAGGACCGCAGGAGGGCTGAGTCATGGATCCAGGAGAGGGGAGGGAAGAGGAGGGCAGAGGGAGTCGTGATCAACACCCAGTGCATTGGAGACGTGGAAGAGGGGCAGGGGCTGTGCAAGCCCCTCACAGCCCTCCCACACACACACACGAGTCCCACACTAAGGGGGCCTTGGCCCCTCTCCTGATGATGCCAAGGCAGCAGCCTGAGTGGGCAGTGGAGTGTGGAACATTCCACACCAGTACAAGGTCAGACGGCAGAGGGGAAAGGCCATGCAAGGCTGGGGAAGAGAGAGCAGGAGAGGAGTCTGGGAATATAAGGGAGATGGACTGAGAACTGGGCGGTGGCGGGGGAGTGAAGAGAGAGACTCTGAGCCCATGGCAGGTGCTTGGCTTGAGCTAAGCATCTCTCTCTGCCTCCTTCCCAGTCCACCACCAGTTGTGGAGGTACAGGAGTTCTCGCTGGTTGGCACCAATCACTTCTGAGTGCTTCCCGAGCCCCCCCATCATGTGCCAAGCACGTCTAAAACTCCAGAGCAGCTTCATTGCACAGAGAAGGCTGAATCTCAGAGAGGCTGGGCCAATCGTTCACGATCCGCAGCTACCAAGTGGCTGTGCCAGGAGCTGAGTCAGGCGTGCCCGACCCCCGAGCTCTTACTTCTTCCACTCGCCACGGGAAATGGGAAGGAGGCCACCTGCGGAAAGGGAGTGGGGACTCTCAATCGAAGGGCCTGCTGGGGAAGGGCCACACTGGGCCCGGTGGGGTGGGGTGGAGGGCCAGGGCTTGCAAGCGGAGCCAAAGAGCTCAGCTACGTACTTTCAGCAAACTCAATAGGAGCTACCTCCAGTGATGGGGGTATAAAGTCTTGAAGAGGTTCTATCCTTGAGTAGGCAGATTTTGCAAACTAGAAGGCGAGGGGAGGAGGGGGACAGGGGACTCCATGTTTGCTGAATTCTTGCTTGGCAGCAGATCGCCTGGTGAGAGGGAGAAGGCGGGTGGAGTTGGAGCAGCATTCACAGGAGACCCAAGGGGAGGTGTCCAGGTAGAAGCAAAAGCATTTCTTGGTTGATTCAGTGTATGCACGTACTTGTGCTTACACACACACACACACACACACGCACTCCACAGAACGTAGCCTGCAGGAGAGTACAGCCTTGTCTGTCGTGCTCCTAGAGCCCGGTAGCTAACACATCCACTGGCACACAGCAGGTGTCCAGTTAATCCCTACTGTCTAATGGACCGAGAGTCCAGAGAAGAAGCCTAGCTGTCAATCGCATCAGTAGCCATTGCGGCCCCTAGAGTGGCAAAGTTCACACGGGGAAAACAGAGCAAGTAAAAGGAGGCTGGGCTCAGGACAGAAGGGGGTCCTTCAAACTCTTCCGCAAATTGAGAATTCTGGACGGGGTTGGGGAAAGGGATTATCTTCTTGGATTTCCTGGAAAACGTGTTCCTTATCTGGGTTATAGTCCCCGTAAGCATAGAGATGGCAGTGTTTTACTGGCTCTCGCACACACCCCAGGGCCTTACCCAGCCTCCTTCAATCACCAGCTTAAGGCAGCCCTCATGCTCCCCCATTTGGCAAGGAACAAACTGAAGCCTCCCAAGAACCCACAGCCGGTTTGCGAGCGAGAATTTCAAACCAGGCATGTCTGGTGGTAAGGCATTTGCAGATTTATTGTTTTCTACTGCGTTATAACTTTCTACACAGCAACCTATCAGGTAGTCTGATGGTGTGGGTAAGCCCTTGGGCCCCCTGTTAGGGAAAGAAGATCTGTCTGTTGTTACAGTGTCTCATTTAGAAAGAAATGAAGAAAAGTCACCCATGGACCAGCCAGTGACCTTGAACTCATCCTGGCTCCAATCCCCAGCCTGACTTCTCTGCCGCTGTTTTCCCAGGACTCCTTTTTCTTCCTGGCAAATTGCAGAGGAAAAAAAAATAAAATAAAATAAGCTGTGTGAGAGGAAAGGTCTGGGGGTGTGGGCCAGCCTCGGCTGTGTGCCAAGCCTCATCACCCCGTAGGTACCTAAAAGATGTCTCCATCATCTACCCACAGCCCACAGAGAAAACCAGGACAGCTGGTCTGTCAAAGGCCCGGTGAGACTGGATGGCTAAATGTAAGCTAAACTCAGAGAGTTAGTGCAGAGGGGTAAGGGCTCCAGGCCCTGCCTGCTCCTCCTGCCACTGCTGTGGCAACAATTCCACCTTGTATCTTTTGCGTCTTGCAATTCCCATTAAGATTGTATTGGAAGAAACTCTTCTGAGGCAAAACCCAAAAAATATATATATATATATTTTAAATAATAACTGAAAGTTGATGTTGAGGGAAAAGGAAAGAAGAGTACCATTTGTAGCAGCCTAGGTATTCAAAACCCTAGGTTTTTCTCATCTCCAAAAGATGAGAGCGTCTCCAACACCCCCGTGTGTCATTTAACATAAAAGTCAATATTAAGCCCTAAAGCGCAAAACTCACACCACGCATGCTGCGGTGAATCTAAGGGACAGCTGTGCAAAAGATGGAACGTGCCCCTCTCTGGAGCGGTTCTCATTTTCCCACCCAGCTCTCTGAGGCTGAAGCCGTCAACACGTCAACACTTGCTCAGTCCTTCGGTAAGGCGGCCCCATGGTTCGGGCTGGCTCCCCTCCAGAGCCCACAGCCCTGCGAGAGGAGACAATGGCCTTTCAGTCTTGTCAAGCAGGAAGCTGGGGCTCCAGAAGAGACAAGTGACTTGCCGACGCCGCCACGAGGTAAACAAGGAAGGAGGTGTGTGTTCTCTGTCTGCCTCCCCTTCTCTGTGGCTCTGCCTTTCCAATTTTTATTGGAAAGGAAGATTTACAGAGAGGGGGAGAAGCAGAGAGAGAAAGATCTTCTACCCTCTGGTTCACTCCACAAATAGCTGCAATGGCCGGAACGGAGCTGATCCAAAGCCAGGAGCCAGGAGAGTCTTTTGGTTCTCCCACGCAGGTGCAGGGTTCCAAGGCTTTGGGCCGTCCTGGACTGCTTTCCCGGGCCACAGGCAGGGAGCTGGATGGGAAATGCGGCAGCTGGGACGCGAACCAGTGTTCATTGGGGATCCTGGTGTTCAAAGGGAAGGATTTAGCCACTGAGCGGTCACACTGGACCTTCAAATAAATAAATAGGAAGGAAGAGAGAGAGAGAGGAAGGGAAAACGGAAGAAAATGGACAACAGCCAAAATTGTGGCACAGTGGGGTAACCCGCTTCCTGTGGCACCCGTGTGGGTGCTGGTTCCAGTCCTGGCTGTTCCACTTCCCATCCAGCTCTCTGCTAACGCGCAGAGAAAGCAGTGGAGAATTCCCCAGTGTTTGGGCGCCTGCCACCCACACGGGAGACTCAGACGAAGCTCATGGCTTTAGGGAGGCCCATCTGGGCTGTGTGGCCTTTTGGAGAGTAAACCTACGCCTACCCCCTTCTCTTTATGTGGCTGTTCTTTTCAAATAAATAAACGGGGGGGGGGGGGCGCGGGGAATAAATCACTCAGCCCTGTCTGATGGCAAATCTCGGGCTGAGGAGATTGTTTAAATATTCAGATATTGTTTAAGTCAGAGACAATATTCATGAAGAAGATTTCAAAGTAGGAGTCAGACGCTGCTCCCTCGTAGGAGGGATGCTTCTAAAAGTTCCCCGATATGGAAGCGATGCGTTTGTTTCGATGCAAAACGAACTTTGAAATCCATGTCTGCAAGGGGGGTCTCCGAAAAGTTCACAAAAACTTTATTAAGACCAAAATCTCCGCGTGGATTTCCAAGTCGAGGTCTCAGGCTGATGGGGTCTCCCTGCCTCCCTGTCTAGCTCCTCGCCCTGCCTGTTTCTGAGCCGGGGGTTCTCCTGCGTGTGACGCGCTGCTTGGTTTTCGCAGGTTGACCACACCTCCCCTAGCAGGCTGTCCAGGGAGCTGCGTGTGAATTCAGAGGTGCGGTAGGCCACCAAAGCGGAGCCGGCGGCATGGACTTCGTCATGAAACAGGCCCTTGGAGGTGAGCCTTCTCCTGGATGCACCCACCCTGTCTTCAGCTCTGGTCCTTGTCCACCCCATCCCCCACCCCCGGCCCTGCCTCTCATCTGCCCCTATCGCCTCCATGCCCACTCTCGTAGGGGCCACCAAGGACATGGGGAAGATGCTGGGGGGCGAGGAGGAGAAGGACCCGGACGCGCAGAAGAAGGAGGAGGAGCGGCAGGAGGCGCTGCGGCAGCAGGAGGAGGAGCGCAAGGCCAAGCACGCGCGCATGGAGGCGGAGCGCGAGAAGGTCCGGCAGCAGATCCGCGACAAGGTCAGCACGGCTGCCCTGCCTCGGGGAGGGGGACACTGGGGCTCCCAGGCCTCCCTGGGCCGTCACCCCACACCCCGAATCTCGGATCTCACCCTAGTGCTAGTGAGGGCCGCAGGCATGGCTGTGGGACTCTGAGCACACGCAAGGCCCTTAGGACCAACATGTGTAGGATTTAGGTTTCCAAGATGAGGGATTCCCGTGTGCCCTGAGCACCTGGCACTGGGTCAGGTGTACCACTGCCAGGGCGTCGGGCTTCTCCCAACCCCCAGGCCCTTCAGCACAGGGAACTCAGGCTACAAGCACCTTCAGGCCAAGTTTAAGGCTGTAAGTAACCTGTCGCGGTTTCAGCCAAGCTTGCCCAACTCCCAAATTTAGCTCTATTCATGTGAGTCTTAGAGACCTCAGGACTTCAAAAGAGGGACAGGTTACTATGAACAGTTGTGAATTTGTTGTTGTTGTTAATGTTTGTTCGTTTGATTAATTGTCTAACAGTTATCTAACACAAAGAGGGAGAGAGAGAGATCTTCCACCTCCATATGGGCACAAGCCACAGTCAGACCAGACCAAAGCCAAGAGCCCGGAATTCCACCCAGGTCTTCCAGATGAGTGGCGTAGGCCCAAGCGCCTGGGCTAGCTCAAGCTGCTTTCCCAAGTGCCTCAGCAGGGAGCTGGATTGGAAGTGGAGCAGCTAGAATGCCAACCAGCACTCTGATGTAGGATGCTTGCATTACGGGCAGTAGCTTAACACACCGTGCCACCCAATGCCAGCCCCACACATCCTTTCTCTCCATCTGGGCCCCATGAAACACCTGCCAAGGGCCCAGCCCAGCCCTTTCAGGGGGGAGGGTCTGATCCCCACGGTGCACCTGCAAGTCTGAGTCTCAGGGAGTCACCTCCGTGGAGACCACAGCACCTGGAGACCCCCATCTTCCCTTGCGCCCCTCACTCTCTTCCTTTCCCGCTCCCAGTATGGGCTGAAGAAGAAGGAGGAGAAAGAGGCCGAGGAGAAGGCTGCCCTGGAACAGCCCTGCGAGGGGAGCTTGACCCGGCCCAAGAAGGCCATCCCTGCGGGCTGCGGGGACGAAGAGGAGGAAGAGGAAGAGAGCATCCTGGACACGGTGCTCAAATACCTGCCCGGGCCACTGCAGGACATGTTCAAGAAGTAGCCGGCCCTGCAGACCCACCCCACTCCACGCGATACTTTTCTTTTTTTCTTTTGGTCGTTGTTTTTTCTTTTACTCAGTTAAGTCTCAGTTCTGAAGGGGAAAACCTCAGTTGGCCTCTGCCCCCCTCCCCCAGGCCAGGGGCTGCTCCCCCTCAGCACCTGCCCCCGTTACAATTCCTTCAACCCAGGGTCTCAGCTCCACCCTTCCCATGCAGCATGAAAAAAAAAAAAAAATAAGGAAAGCTCCCCTCTCCCCTGGCCAAGCAGGGGGGGCAGTGAACCTGGGACCCAAAGCACCGGGGGGCCTCTGAGGAAGCTACGATCTGTATGAGTGTGGTCGCCCCCCCATACATTCCTTCATGCTCCCCACTGCCAGGAGGACCACTGTCCCCCAGCCAGCCAAAGTAATGACACATTCCAGCCCTGCCCAGCATGCTGACCCTTGGCCTGTGACCTCCAGCAGGATCCAGGTCAGGACAGGGGCATTGAGTGGCCTGGCTCTGAGGAGGAGTCAGGGTATGCATAGGCTGTGAGGGCTCCGCCTGAGAGGCCCAGCATGTGGCCAGGCTGGGGTCTGGGCAGGAGGCTGGGACTTCCCTTCTCCCCCCTCTCTCTGGTGACATCCCATCCAGGAGCACCCCCTTTTTCAGCCCTCACCCAAAGAGGCATGGCCCCTGCCAGACTGGTCCCTCCAAATGAATCTTCTTTGGACTTGAGCTTATCTGTGGAGGAGCCCTACCCATCCCTTACTCCTACTTAGGTCCTGGGAACCCACTGCCAGGCTGGGCCCAGCTGACCCAGCCAAGGGGCTGCCCAGGCCCCCAGAAAAACACTTGGAGCCATCGGGCAGCCATGGTCTATTCCATGGGATCCCCTCCCATTGGTGTGGCCAAGCTGCCCCCATTCCTCTCCATCCTTCTTCCCTACTCTGTCCTGTCCATGTGCTTCCAGGACCCCACGGTCCCAAGGAGGACCCTTCCTGGCCAAAGCCCCAAGTCTCTCGGGGAAAAGCCAGTTCCCATTTGACAGAAAGCATCTGTCCATTCATCTCCTTGGCCAAGAACAAGCTCTCCTCTGGGATGTGCAGGACTAACCTTTGTTCTCCCCTCCCCCAACACCATGAAGGGTTACTGCTATATCACTTGTGTGAGTAAGGATGGGGAAGGGGGTATACTTGAGCGTGGAAAGTGTGTGTCCGTGCATGTGTGATGTGCATGGCAGGATCCGCATTGGCAGCTGTGCCCAGAGACTGTGTGTGTGCCCATGTGTTATGATCAGAGTATGTTTGTGTCTTGAGATTGTGTGTGTGTGTGCTAGTCATCGTGTTTCTATGTTAGAGACTATACAGCCTTATGTACGTGTGCTTGCTTGAGGTGACAACATCTGGATTATGTCATGTGTGTGCACTAGCCATCTCATCCGTGTTTAGAGATTGCATGTGTTAGCTTGAAGATGCATGTTTTCAAAATGGCATGTGTGTCAGGAATATTGTAGAAGCATTCTGTTCGAGAGAATTTGTCCGATGTGCTAAGGTATGCGTTGTGTGCGTCTGAAAAGGAAGCTGTGTGCATGGACATGTGCTGAAGGCGAAAGAACACAGGTAGATGCCGCCTCCCACTCCAGAGACCATTGGTCACAGCGGCCACATCCAACAGGAGACCTTGCCCTTGGCCTCGAGTCCTTCCGCCCTTGGAGGGTTCCTGCCTGAGGTCCTCAGACTCCCACTGGGACAGGCCCGGGCAGCACCTTAGGAAGCCATGCTGGGCCCCCACCAGGGCCTATCCCCAAAGCAGTGGCCAGGGAGGGGGCGACTTGCCTGCCCCTGAAGCCCCTGCCCCTTGGCCCCAGTTTGCATTCTGCGGGTTTTCCATTTTAGTGAATTTATGCTTTTATTTCAGAGAGAGACATTTGTCCTCTCTGTCCGTTTTCAATAGTTAAAGCCATATCAGTTAGACTGCAATACTTTAAAGACAAGACAAAACAATCCATATGTTTAAGGAACCAGAAAAGTCCCCTGGTCTGTCCCTTCTCTGGGGAGCAGGGCCACTGAGCTCCAGCTCCCTGGACTTCTCCTCCCCAAGCCCAGTCCTCCCCCGTGCCCCTGTGTCTGCCCCCCTCCACTGGGGAGGGGCCCGTGTCTGTGTCCGTGCTCGTGTTTGTGATGGGGAGCCACCTTGCACCCCTGTTGTCTGCTTGTCTGGTTGTGTCTATTACCCTGGGCAGGATGGTCTTTCTCAAGAGTCCTGGACATTTGAAGCCAGAGACAGACAGGACCTGACCCGGAGGCCCCAGGCATCCCCAGACACCCGAATGTGAGCTCCACTTAGACACAGAGGTGAACATCACATGTTCAGAGAGGTCCACAGCTTCTCAGGGGCCCTCAGACCTCAAAGATGATGCAAGGGCACAGAGAGGGCTACGTGGGTAGCAGAGACCAAAAGCCTGGGGGACTTCTGATGAACAAAAGAACCTAGCCATGGGAGATCACCTAGGTGGATCCTGGGGACCTCAGGCCCTCAGAGCGCATCCTTCGTGGTCCCCACAGCCCTTGGACACCCAGAATGGTCTGGAGGCTTTTCATCTGCCAGGATGCCTTCTGTGGCCAGCTAGCTCAGTCTGAGTAACCTCCCACATGTGTCTGTTCTACTTTCAGGCAGTAGAACTTGAAGTCTTCTGGAGTCAGGGGCAAGGGGAAATTTCTGCATGGCACATACCTGGGCTTAGCCAGTGCCAAGTAACCGCCTTCAGATCTGGCTGTCATTTCTGACCTGACTGTGGGGAACAACCAATACATGAACCAGAGAGAATGGCTGTGTGCAGCACACAGATGGACTGGGCTGTGCCACCAGAGAAGGAGAGACGGTCGCATGATACACCCGACGTAACAAGTGCGTGTGACCCTCTAGACGGGAGGGGATGAACGTGTCAGGCACAAATAGGGCAATGCGCGTGTGACACCTCTAGAGCAGGAGAGCCACCAACACGGTGCGTAAGGGAGATGGCCCTTGCTAAGGGGAGAGAAGCAGTGACTGTAGGAGGGTGCCGACAGCCTGAGATGTAAGGAACACACATCCCTGTGGTGGTGCGCACAGGAGCTGGCAGGAAGAAGGCCACTCAAGCCCCCGTGTCTGGGATCACAACCAGAGGGAAAAGCAAGGGCTTCTTGAGGGATCCCTGGGCAGAGCAGTAGCAACAGGCCAAGATTTCCAAGGTGGAGAGGCCAGAAGCACCCAGAGGGTGTCCCTCACCGGCAAGCCTGCATGGGCGCTCTTGTTCATGACAATGGGAGTTGAGAGGCAGAAAGACCACAGCCCAGAGCCCTCCCTAGAGGAGAAGGGGGCAGCCAGCAGGCTTATGACTCCATGGGGTGGATGCTCCAGCTCTGAGAACCCCCCACTGTTTCATCCCATGAACCGCACAGGCTCCTGACTACACAGGGCAGCTGAGGCTCAGCCCAGCACAGATGGGGGAGATGACCCAGGCCTGCGCCAGTCCCCACCTCCTTCGCTGGGGAGAGAATGGGAAGTGCTCAGGGGGGAGGGGTGCTGGAGTGGGGCAGGGAGACCCTGTGAGATCAGGTGAGACCGACCATCCTGCTTGCACGGGGGACCCCCTTTCCCATACGTGTGCTGTGTCTTTGTTGCTCTGCTTCCTTTAAATGTGTCAGTGCCTGGGGGGTGGGGAGGGGCACCTCCTTGAGCCCCCCTGAACCTGACCAAAAGCCATGGCTGTCGCTCCACGCCCCCCACCTTTGTATGACGCCAACGCTACAATGTACAAAACCAACCATGATAACAAAGAAAAAGACCTTGTACAGCAGCCGGTGTTCTGTCTGTTCCTCTCCCATCTGTCGGCACCCGCTCACCAGGGAGGAGAGCTCAGCAATGCCCGAGAGTCCCCCATCACCCTCTCGGGAAGTCTCCACCAGGACCCTGGCTTCTGGCAAGCATAACCCAGAAACAGCCTGGAAGCAGCCCAAGTTGGAGGCAGGGCTGGCCCCAGAGTTCAAGTTCACACAGCTTCCCTGCTTTTCAACATCAACCTGACAATGCCCGGGGGCTGAGTGGGCTAAGATGACTTGCACACCCCTGGCCACTCCTCTCTCCAAACTCTTTGGGCAGGCTGTTGGCCAAGTCCCAGGGGCGAGGCGAGGCGTGTCAGTCATTTGGCGCTTTCATGTTCATGGAGTATCTACCTTGCCTGATTGTGTGCAAGAGGCTGGCGCCCAGAGAGAGGACCCATGCAGGGTCCCTCCCCTTCAGATACTTCCTAGGAGTCAGCCAGCCTGGAACCCCCTCCACCTGCTGTATGGTCTGTGCTTAAGCGCGGCCTGATTCCTCTCGGCCTGGCCTAGCACCTCCCACCACCGAGCGCTGGTCTCCCTCCCACATCCCAGACCGTCTCCTTCTTTCCATCCGTCCTCTCCCACCACCCCCTTGCTGCACTCATCTGGAATACAAGCTGCATCGCACCATAACCCTGTCATGGCCAACACGACAGGGTGGCATCAGTCCACCCACGCACCTTGCTGCTTCCTGCCTGCATATACTGTGTCCTCTACCTGAGATGAGTGGCACGCTGCCCTTGCTGCTCTAACCTCTCAATTTTCCAGCTCAAACACCCCCTCCTCCATGAAGCCCACCCTGATGCTGCCTGGGGGACCCCCCGACCAGAGCAGAGTCCCTGGCTGTGCACCCAACAACCGAGACAGCAGCAGAGCTGAAGTTTCTACCAGCACCGGGCATGCCTGTCACCCAGCAGACACTTAACCCCTGTGAGTGTCTGCTTGCCAGGAAAATGGGATGGCAACCATCACTCTGAGCTCCCACAGTGGCTGCAGGTAGTAGGCGGGGACCTGACACGCGTTCCTAGCGCTAAGCAGTCAATCGATGGTGCTTTGCAGATTCCACTGTAAGCAGTGTCACTGCGCATGTCTCCCTGGCTCAGCAGGATCTCAGTAAGGGCAGGGTTGGCTCACGTCTCATCCCCTCCCCAGCACCCAGCACAGTACCTGATCCACAGAAGGGC